TATATATATATATATATATATATATATATATATATATATATATATATATATATATATATATATATATATATATATATATATATATATATATATATATATATATATATATATATATATATATATATATATATATATATATATATATATATATATATATATACATGAACTCGGTATTTTCTGACTAATTCTCTCCCTAAACATATATTGTATGTGATAAATCAATTAATTTTGTGCTAATATCCTGATGGGCATGTTCAACAATCACTTGGCATCACTTACGGTTCTGTAAGGAATATTCTGTTTCAGGTTGTAAAATAAATGTTTTTAGACTGATTGTTTAGATCCCTGAAGTGTTTATCTTGCTAAGTATTATGCATTATTACCCATTTCATATTAACGATTAATGACTGGTTAAACAAGTACAATATACAGTGTGTGTGTGTAATATATATATATATATATATATATATATATATATATATATATATATATATATATATATATATATATATATATATATATATATATATATATATATATATATATATATATATATATATATATATATATATATATCCTGTATAATTATGCATCTATTTAGCGTGTGTGTGTGTATGCAAGTTATGTGTTCTGTATCTCTCTTTAAGGAATATACATACTTGTGCCCTTTTGTAAGTAAGTCGGTGTCACCTAGTATACAGTACATAGAAAACTTCTTGTCAATGTAACCTTTAGTTCAACATTAGTTTGTGAGAACTGTGCCACTGAACCATCCAGTGACTTGAAGTATCATAGGAGTTTCAGTTTTATATGTTTTCAACATGCAGGTTTATCATCTTATTCAGTTAATTATTGCCTGTCCTTACTGAATGTTTTCATCTTCTAGATATGCATATACATTCCTGTATCTGCATTTGAGAAATTTCCATTATGTTCAGTGACTAATAGTACTACAGGTTCAACCTTGATTTAACAGCACTGGATTTACTGGCATCTCGCATTTAACAGCAAAATTTAGAGACCGTGAATTTGAAAGGCCTGCCCATAATTTCCACTAGTTCCTCTACCTGCTGCAGTGCTCCTGCAGTGATGTGGTTGGTTTATATTGGCATTGAAGTCTAGCTGGTGCTGTGCTCGAGTGATGGCCTTAAATTTCTACTTTCTTTGCATAAATTATGGCCTCTAAGCGACCTGAAAACCCTATCGGAGTTACTAGGGACCCGAAGAAGAAAAGATTTTCCCCGAACATTGTGCAGAAGGTTATAATGCTACAGAAACTAGACCGTGGAGTGTTTAAATCCCAACCCCCCTTCTTCTATTTAATGGGAAATTGGATTTAATGGCACGGTCCAGATTCCATCAATGCCGTTAAATCGAGGTTCAACCTGTGATGGTTAGAGTAATTTGTTACTCGCCTGGATGAGTCATTGTGGTTAGAGTATATTATAGTGTGTGCTGAGATTTGCCTATGTTCTCACACTGGATGAGCAGCTTGTCCTTTTATGACCTATTTGTCTTCAGGAAGTGACCTGCAAGTTACATTCCACTAAATCACACTCTGGCAGAGCCTGCCCTACCCAAAATGCTTGGCATGTTTTGTGGCAGGGGGTATTGTCCAGAAAATGTTGCTGAGCTGTTGAGAAGTACAGTGCATGTTTAATATTTAAGAATTATAAATGATAATTCCAGAACATACAATTTTTTTTTTTTTTTTTTAAATTTCATTAGCTGTTGAGACCGTTCCTCCCTGTCAACAGCTGGTTTAGGAAGCTTTTAGTGTTCAAACTGTGACAAGTTTCCTGCAGTCTTAGGCTCTTTTGAAATAAAATTCTCTGTCTAGTGGTGGATATCCTACAGAGGAAGAAATACTCAGTGTCTTGTAATGGGTTGGTTGAATTCCGCATAAAGAACTTCTTAGAATATTTTCAAGTTTCTAGAGAAATTGAGAGAGGTCCATTCTAAAACCTTAATGTAATTCATTGTAAGACTAGAGAGGCGTAAGGATTCAGAATACATTATAATAAGGTTTTACTCCTTATGACTTTGATGTGAGCAAGATATACGATGTTAATTTTGGAGTGAGGCTCAAAGTCCCCGAAGTCTCATTTTTAACAGATTAGCTCAGACTGTGCTTCTACAGTACATAGTGAGAAAAGTATTTCTTGAGATGCTGGTGACATATGACAACCTTCAATCCATTCCTAGTGGGTTTAGAATAACAAAGACACTCACTGATAACCCAGTTTATGTCAAAGTGAAGAAACCTGTGACCTGGTTTCCCACCCTCTCTCCCTTAGGTGGGATCGTTAATTAACAGGAACATGAATTTCCCTTTATCTTGCCCAGTGAGTTGGAATCAATAGAGTTTATTTTAGGAATTTTTCTTCAGCCTTTTGACTTGTCGTGTAAGCCATTACTTTACAGCTATGGGGGGAAATCTATATACAGTGATCCCTCGGTTAACAAACGGTTCGAATAACGAAATTTCGGTTAACGAATTAGCTCCCATAAGGATTTTCAGTTCGATTAACGAACAAAACTTCAATTAACGAAATCCTTACGACAAACAAGTTTTTTTGTGCGCATCAAGTGATTGGCCAGTCTGCCAATACAGTAATCATTTCTATGTTTACATTCGTTTCCAGTGGAGTAAATATCAAGAAAGTTGGTGTCTTGAATATTTCTTCATTTTTTATATTAAAATTATTGCTCATTCTGAAATTTAGTTAACATATTGGTAATATAGACAGTACAGGGAACAGTTTTTGTGCGCCCACCAGCTGATTGAATTACCCAACAATGCTTCTCAGTTTAACTTTGTTTACAGTGGAGTGTACATCCAGTTTGTTGGTCTCTTGAATATTTTTGCATTTTTACATTAAAATTATTGGTCATTCTGAAATTTAGTTAACATATTGATAATATATAGTGCAGAAATTATTATGAAACACAAAGAAGGCATTAGAACCAATGCACTCTGTAAAGAATATGGCATGTCATCATCGACTGCCCCTACAATCAGCTGTTTCATATGTAAACAAAGCTGCCGGGAATACGACATACACACCTCAAAGTAAGTTAAAATACAGTATTCTACTATTATTGTTTTTTATTATTGTACAGTATACTGTACAGTACAGTACTGTATTTAGTTTATATTTAATGTTTTGTTAATTCTATTACTGGTATACAGTACTTTGTATGTATACTTTTTCTGTGAGTTGGAACCAATTACCCAATATTCCATTGAAATAATAGATTCGGTTAACGAACGACTCTGGAACGAATTGTCTTCGTTAACCGAGGGACCACTGTACTGTATATATACAGGTACTTCTCGACTTACAACCTATTCAACTTACGACCACCCGGACAAACGACCGCCGCAGCTGTACCAAAAATTTTTCAAATTACGTATTTTTGAGTCCCGATGTTAGTGATTGCGCTGTGTACTGACAAAATTTTCGTTTGTAATTCACTTGAAAATGGCTGGCAGCTTAAAATGAGAGTTATGTGGTGCGGAGAAGGAAAAGAGACCCATTGTAGGTTTTCTATGTATTTCGCATTTTCGACTTAAAACCAATTCGATTTACGACCTGGATTTGGGCCCCTAACCCCGTCGTAAGTTGGGGACTGCCTGTATATATATTAGTTTTGTATTTGTAATAGTAACATAACTCATCACTTTAGCCACATCCTCCTATCTTTGCCAACTGTATTAGTTATTTTGCAACTTGTAATTTTAGGTTTATATATATAAAAAAAAAATTGTGTGTTACATGTGCACATGGTATTGCACACACAATGTGCAAAAAGTAAAATAAATATTTATCATTAGGTCAAAAGTGGGGAGGGGGGAATGAATGATCTCAGTGAAGTAAATATTAAGAAAGTTTGTCTCTTGAATATTTCTGCATTTTTTACATTAAAATTATTGGTCATTCTGAAATTTAGTTAACATATTGATAATATACAGTGCAGAAATTATTAGAACCAATGCACTCTAAAGAATATGGCATGTCATCATCGACTGCCTCTACAATCAGCTGTTTGATATGTAAACAAAGCTGCCGGTAATACGACATACACACCTCAAAGTAATTTAAAATACACTATTCTTTTGTTTTTTATTATTATACAGTATACTGTACAGTACAGTACTGTATTTAGTTTACAATGGCCCTCGATTTAACAATCCGTTCAGAAGGTGGATTACCGTTAACCCGGCGTTCAGATAACCCGAAACCATTGTTTCAATGGGTTTTTGGGTAATTGGTTCCAGCTCACCGAAAATTTCCTAAATTCAACAAAAATGGTAGAAAAGTTCACTTACTTTGAGGTGTGTATGTAGAAGGCTCCTGGATGATGATGATGATGATGGGATTTAGAATGGGGGCGGAGGAGAAGGAAGAAGAGAAGGCATTGGGGTGGAAGAGAAGTCACCCCATGGTGCCATTTCACCCATAAAATTTTAGCTCTCTGGTTTAATTCAAGATTATTTTCTTTAAATCAATGCTGCACTGCATTATATATTGTCAATATATAAAATATATTTCAAAATGACCAATAATTTGCTTGGAAACACAGAAAAAAAGCATTTAGTTGAAGAGAGTCTCAAGCAAGATGTTACCTCCAGTGAAAACAGAGAGAGACTGACGCCTGTTTGCTGTGTTAAGAGGCTGGATGCAGCGCATTAAACTAGTCACTTTACCTTCAATTTCGTTCAATAATTGTTAAAATATTCAAAATTAGCAATACGTAACTTCTAG